GGTGCCGGCGGGGGTCGGCACTTGGGAGGGCCGGGCCAGAGCTGCAGGGGTGTGAACTGGCGCGGCCGGGCGGGAGCTCCGGGAGCGCTCCCAGCGGCAGGGCCCGGCCCGGCCGCTCTCCCTGCTGCCCTCGCGGTGGGGTGTTTCTGCTGCAGAGGGTCTCCCCTTCCCTTCCCGCTTCAGACCTGCGGGCGGTGCCTTCACGTAGCCTGGGGCTGAACAAACAGCAGGTGCCCGTTAACCGTTCCTGCGCAGACGCCACAGCGTGCGGGTCCCGCTCTGACCCTCGCTCCCTTTGCAGGCCACAGCGACAGACCAGGTGGTTGGATTCGGCTTGGTTGCCTTCAGCCTCGTTCTCTTCGTTTACTACACCCTCTGGATCATCGTACTGGTACGGGTCTGCTCTGGCCGTTACAATCCCAGTCGCTTCGCACACGGGTGTTAGCCTAGGCTTTGTTTAGGTGATGATGTGTCCATGTGCCTGAAAGGGCTCTGCCTTGCCGGCTTCCTGGTTAAAAGTTTCAGGGCAGAGCTTCCTTTCTTTGCTGGCACAGCCCTTGCCCCTTCTGGGTGTGCCTGCCCTTGCCCGGGCAAGACCAAGCTTTGATCATGCTGCCCGCCCTGCTGCTCTCGGACAGGCTGACCCGGCCGGTGTAACACCGGAGGCTCGCTCAGGCTGTCAGCGAGAGCTGAAGCCTGGTCCCTCTGGAGGTGTTGTCACTGGTGTTCACGTTCGCAGTCCTCCCGATGCCTGGTTCTGGTGGGAGATCACAGAGGGAAACATAAAAAGAGATGACTTTTGCCAAATCTGGAGCCTGGTAGGGAGGAAAGGAGTTTGGGGAATGCAGAGCTCTGGAAAAGTGATTGTGAGCCTGGTAGTTTGCCCACTTCTAAGGACATATCAGCTGGGGTCATTAGTGGTTTTCTTCCTGGAAAGAAACGTCTCCTCATGAGCTTTCCAGGTACGAGAGGCCTGGTTCAGCCTTGGGCTGATGTCGGAACTCCCGGCAGCTTCCCCTCTGAGACTTTTGGATTCCCCTCTTGCGTCTGCTTACTCTGCTGTCTGATGCGTGTTTACACGGTCCGTAGTCCTGGGAATGCGTAGGTGTGCTCGCCGCTGTGTAGGAATCCTTGCACTGCTCTCTAGCGTCCAAAGCCTTCCACTGGCCTCGGCAGAGGGATCCTGGCGGGATCGCCGTGAAGCAGAGCCGGTATCAGCCGCTCCCTTCTGCAGGGCAGCGAGTCCGGGGATTTGCTGTTGTTCAGCACCAAACGGGCGGGCGGCCGTGCCCACCCTGACACCCTGGGGCTGTGGGACCCCCCTTGCCGGCCTCGCGTAGCTGCCCCTCGTTGTCTGCTGAAGGCTGAAGCCTTCGCTGCCTGCCCGCTGTCACGTCCCTGCAGCCGCGGGCTGAGCCACGTGCAGGTCTGGGCACCTTTTTTTTTTCTTTAGCTATCTCCTCATGCCTGATATTTCCGTCCTGCTTTTGAAACCAGGAGGCTGCAGGTGTCGGGGACTTGCCCGGGTGTTGTGCCCACCTGCTGACACTTCTCTCTCTCTCTCCTGCAGCCCTTCATCGACAGCGACCATGGGATCCACCGGTACTTCTTGCCTAGGGAGTATGCGGTTATCATCCCTGTGGTGGCTGGGCTGCTGCTGCTGCTATTTATAGGTGAGTGTTATTTCTGTTGTTCTAATTAGAAGGTTCTAAATTAGGAAGAGAGAAGAGGGTTGCCGGGGGGTTAGCTAACGTGTGAGACTTGTGACGCGCTCTCTGTGGCTCCTGCCGCAGCTCAGCCTGGCACGGGCTCTCGGGGCGTGTGTTTGTGTATAACTTTGGCTGTTCGAGCCTCTGGACAGCGGAATTGTTTCTCACTCACTCTGCTGAGGTTCAGTTTCTCACTACAATGTGTTTTAAAAGTGCCTGTAATTGGAAGTTCTCTGGCTGAATGTGTTCTCTCTCTGGTGGTAGGCGTTTTTATAATGGTCGTGATGTGGAAGAGCAGGAAACCTGCCAAGAAATCGGACTGAAGGCCCAGCTGAGAGAGATGAGGAGAAGGCGCCCACCCTGCAGCAGCGTAGCCAGGAAAAGACTTTGCCTGCAGCACCTCCTCCAGAGCGCTCAGCGCCGAGCTGGCTGCGCTCTCCCACGTTCCTTCCTGCAGAGACGAAGCCTTCTGTAGTTTACAACTTATTGACCAAAGGGAAGCAAAACTGACCTCCGGGGCTCATCGAGAGAGGGACCGGAGGCCCGGCTGTGAGGGACCTGCTCCCCAGCTGGGGCTGCCTGTACCAGCTGTGCTTCGGCCCGTGCTGGCTAGAGGAGCTGTGGGGGTCCGGCAGCTGTAACCGCCAGAGTGCGAGTCGAGCTCTGACCCCTGCCCGCTGCTCGGCCTCTGGGTAATCCTTCCCCTATGCTCTTGCTGTGTCCAGTAGTTTGTTCCTTCTGGGGTTTTTTAAATGTTTACGTATGGTTTGTGAGGGTTTTTTTTAATGTGACTCAAGATTGAGAGGAAAGAAATGAGACTGAGCTTGGAAAAGGCAGGCTTGCATTCTCCATTTGCCTGCTGGAAGGACTAATCACGGTGCTGGTGGGCTCTTACCTTTCTGAAGAGGGACCCCTGTGAGGCCGGGCATGCAGAGGATGCAGGGACGGTGCTGCTGCTGCCCTCTGCATCCCCTCCTGCGGTCACCCCGCTGAGGGGATGGCGAGGAGATGCCCTGGGTCACAAGGAAACGTTCCGCTCCGCCGCTGATGGATGCGGCTCCCGTCACTGCTGTCAGCTGCTGGCTGGGCTCCTGCCCCCGGACAAGGCCCTGCACGCCAGCTGGGCTGGGGCTGAGCCAGCAGGCGTGGTGGCACCCTGTACTTTCCCCGCGGGGTTTTCTCTCCTGGCAGCGGCCGCTGTCCCGAGGTGCGGTGCCCTGGCAGCTCCCCCAGACCGCGACGAGCGGGATCACCCTCGATAAAGGTCCGCAAGGTCTCGGTCCCTGTCCTCCGCCCGTGCCGAGGGGGTGCCGCAGGCCTGCCGGGATGGTTTCCGCTGCGTAGCCTTGGCAGTGCCCGGGGAAGGTCCTGCCAAGGGCCCTGTCCTGCCGGAGGGGCCAGGCAGGGAAGCGCCAGAGAGGACCTGGCCGGGCATACCCAGCCTCGTGCTGGCCCTGCCGTGCTGGGGGGCCGCTGCCCTGTGCCTGGGGTAGCTCCGGCAAAAGGAAGGCAGAGTTGAGGCGCTCTGATCCTTCTCGCATGTACTGTGAACTTCCCCTACCAGACAGCAGCGTGTCCCATCGTCTCTCGTCCTGCCGGGGGGTGATGCTGGTGGCTCGGGGGCACACTGGGTGCCACGGGTCTTGGGCTGAACCTGGCGGCGTGGCTGGAGCTGGTAGGTGGTCCAGAGGCGAGGCTCTGGCTGGAGGTTTGTTTCCAGCTCTTGGGGAGGCTGCCTGGCCGTGCCGGGCTGCGCACCCGCTCCGCTCGCCTGTCGCCGTGCCCTCCCTGAGGCCAGGTCCTCCATCCCTCCGTTTTCCCTTGCTTGTGGCTTGCTGCTGCTGCTGCTTCTCCCAGTGAGGAATCCCTCGCTCCCCGGCCCCTCGCCTGCTGGAACGTGGCTCAGCCCACCCCGTGAAGGTGGGTTTGAGCTGGGGCAGGGGGAGGCAAAAGGGGAGAAAAAATTCGGTCACGTCTCTGAGCAACTCCATGTGTGCCCCCAGGCACTGCTTCCTGCGCGGGACCCCTGCGGTGTCCCTGTCACCTCTTTCCTCCTGGTCAAAGCCTGCGGAGGACAGGGTTGGGACCAGTTTCAAGGTTATGTTTCATATTTCTTCGTCAACAGTGGGAGAAACTGAAGTCTGGTACCCGCCCCGGGCAGGCATGCGGCAGGCAGCTCGCTCTGGAGACATTTCTCACAGGTGATCTGCAGTTTGGCCCTGGCACAAGGGGCTGCGGGTGACGGGTGGCTCCCCAGGGCCATTGGACGGGGACCGGGGTACCAAGAGGCTGGCCTGGCCCGGCCCCGCTCCTGTGCCATTTTGGATCATTTTGGTCCCCCTGGGCTGTTGCCGTCACGCCTGAGCGCACCAGCGTCCGGCCTGGCTGAGAGCTAGTGGAGCACGGAGGTGAGAGCCAGGCTTTGGGACACGGGGGTTGGCTGCAGGGGACCCCCGGGCTGGTGGGAAGCCCGAGAGGGCAGAACAGGAGGTTTAGGGAGTGCCGGGGTCGGTCCCGGGCACGCGGGGTGGGTGCCGGGGTCAGTCCCGGGGCACAGGGGGTGGGTGCCGGGGTCAGCACCAGGACGGTTGGTCGCAGGGTGTATGGGATGGGTGCCGGGGTCGGTACCAGGGCACATGGGACGGGTACAGGGACACGCGGGGTGGGTGCCG